AATTTTAGTATACATGTGCTGCTGCAGTAAGCACAATAAACATTGTGTGTGTGTGTGCGCATGCATGTGCATGCATGTGTGCGTGTGTTTGTATGTTGCTAAGAATTGAACCCAGGGCCTCACACATGCTAGGCAAGTGCTCTACCACTGAGCTACATTGCCAGTCCTGATAGCTTACAATATAGTGTGAAAGTAGTAGTCAGGCTTTGTTTAGTTTAGTTTAGTTTAGTTTTGTTTTGTTTTTGGTACTGCAGATTGAACCCAGGGCCTTAGTACTGAATTACATCCCCAGCCCCTCTCTCATTTAAAAAAAATGTTTTGTAATTTTGACATGGGATTATAGTCACTAAATTGCCCAAGCTGAGCTTGAACTCATGATGCTTGTGCCTCAGCCTCTCAGAGTACTGGGATTACAGGCTGTGTGCCACCATGCCCAGGCTTTTTCTTTTTTTAATACTGCACATTGAACTCAAGGCCTTGTACAAAGCTACGTCCTTAGCCCCTTTGTTTTAATCTTTTGTAAATGTTTTGTTTTGTTTTGTTTGTTTGTTTGGAGACTGCCTTGCTATGCAGTTCAGGCAGGCCATGAACTCCCTGTGTAGCCCAGGCTGGCCTTAAACTCAGGATGATCTTTCTGTCTCAGCGTCCTGAGTACTTACTTGGATTACAGGCGTGTGCCACCATGCCTGGCCTCTTTTCTAAATTTTAACACAGGGTCTTAGTCTCTAAATTGCCCAGTTTGATTGTGAGTTTGAACTCATGATCCTTGTGCCTTAGCCTCTCAGAGTGTTGGGATTCGGGATTACAGGCTATATGCTGCCATGCCCAGGTTTGTTTGTTTTTTTTTAAGTACACTTTTTTTTTTCTCATCCTCTGAGTGAAGACACATACACATTTGTTACCACTTATGTGCTTCAGTGATATGAATTTAAATAAGTTCAAGGACTGCTCTTAGTTCAGTGGAGAATGGTTCTCTTGATGCCGGGTATCACCCCTAGGGCCTCGCACCTGTTAGGCAAGCACTCTACTGCCAAGCTACACCCCCAGCCCAAAGAAGCCCTCTCCTTAGGCAGTGACATCAAGTAGAAATCTGAATGAAGAGGGAGCTAGAAAGATGAGCAGTTATTGGGGTAAAAATATTCCAGAGTGACAGTAAGCCCTGAGCTCCAAGGAAACTAGCTGGAAGTAGTCAGCAAGCGGGGCAGGGTAGGTTAGAAGACAAGGTCAGAAGCTGAGTGTGTGGTGGTTGGTACATACCTGTGATCCCAATGCTTTGGGAGGCTGAGGCAGGAGGATCGCAAGTTTGAGCCTAGCCTCTTGTCAACATATCTGTTCAGCAAGACCCTGTGTCAAAATAAAACACAAGAAAAAAGGGGACTGGGAATATAAAGATTCCCAAAGTGCAAACATTCTGGGTTCAATACCTAATACAAGGCTTAAAAAAAGAGCAGGGTCAGAGAGGAAGTAGTAACAGATGATAGAAGATGTTGGGGTCCATGTTAGGATTTTACTCTAAGTGAGATGGAAAATTATTGGTGATATTTGAGTTACCAGGACTTCAGTTAAAAAACTAAAATAACTCTGTCTACTATATGTAGAGTAGATTGAGTGATACTTAGAAAGCCATTGTAGTAATCTAGCTAGAGCTGATGAGATGACAAATGAAGTTTATTACGTATATCCATGTTGGGAGACCCAACTGAGAATACATCACTAAAGTCCAGTTCACTTTAGGCTCAGATGTCATTATATGTTGGTTAACTACAAAAATACGTTCTGAGACAAGATTTGTTGAGTGGTTTCCACATTGTACGAACAACATAGTCTACTTACCCAAACTATAGAATAGCCTATTGCTCCTAGGCTATAATGCAGCATGTTACTGTGCTGCATTCTGCAGGCAGTTGTAACACAATGGTATTTGTGTATCTAAACATAGAAAATATGTTTAAATCCCACGGGCCAGGGATTTAGCTCAGTGGTTTTGCCACCTGCTGTGCAAGCTCAAGGACACGAGTTTGAGCCCCGGTACAAAAAAAAAAGGAGAAAGGGTACAGTGAAAAATACTAGACAAAAACAATTTTTCCACTGAGTGTGGGGTCATATGCCTGTAATCTCAGTACTTGGGAGGCTGAGGCAAGAAGATCATTGTAAATTCAAGGCCAGCCAGGGCAAGACCCTGTCTCCAAAACACAGCAGTTTTTCAGTTCCATTATGATCTTATGGAACCACTGTCATATGTGTAGTGTCGTGGACTAAATGTCCTTATGGGACTGCTCCCTCACCCCCACCCCTGTACCAGGGATCAAACTCAGGATCTTCCACTTGCCAGGCAGGTTTGGTGCTGCTGAGCTACATCCCTGGCCCCTGGGACTACTTGTTAACTTTCCTTGGAGTTTGTCCTTGGCTGTAAGGACCATAAGGGAGAAGTTATTAAATAGAGATCAACATTCACAAGGTAAGGAATTGTAAGCAGCACCTATTCATTTGTCCCCACCAGAAGTCTTTATTTCTTGAGGCATGGCAGTTGGCACGCTGTGTTCATCCTGTTGTCCCACCCACCACAGATCTAAAAAGACTGAATCTGTGCCAGAGCACTGGGGCAGCTCTATTCTCAATGAAGCATTCAATCTTCAGTTCTTTCTGCAGCTGCTATCTTAGACATGGTTTGAGCAGCCTCTTTTACAAAGTGTCTTTTCAGCTACCTGATCTTGCAAGCTGGAATTCTCTGATACTAATCATGACAAGGTAGTATCACGTACCTGAGAGAGTCCTCTAAGGGAAATAAAGTTTTGTGCTCTTTGTTTAGCGTTTGAGTTTTTCTCCCCAATCCTTTTTTGTTGTGATTTAAAGCAACATATTATACCACTCTGATTTCTGAATTTCACAGTATTAGAGAAGGTGTTCATGTACTCTGCTGTAGGGGACAGGGGAAGGGGACGTTACCAGAACCTCTGCAGTGAGTCCTGGTCTCCTGCGAGCCACGGCAGCACACGGCGAATTACAGGAAAGGTAGAAAAATGAGACTGAGAAGAAGCTGAGCTTTGGGTCTGATCAGTGCTGCTCTGGGCAGCAAAGACAAAAGACCCCTAGCTTGCAGCACCTTTTATTCAGTACATCGGAGAAACAGATGTAACAAGTGAAAAAGAGTTCAGTACTTCACATTGGGGTAAACAAGGTGTAACAGAAACCTGGGGGGCAGTGGAAATCTAAGAAGAATGAGGAATTATGCAGATGAAGATTTGGCTCCTCTCTGGCGTCTCCCGCAGGTGTGGTCTTGTCCTGGAGATTGCAACATCCCTGGGGGGATCACTCAGGTCTCAGTTGTGACCAGAGGCCAAAATGCAATTATGTCTGGAATGTCCTAGCTGGGCTGTAGGCTGGAGAACTAGGCCTACTCAAATGATTTTTCCTAGAATTATGTAGCATTGCTCCCAACACTCTGCTACATTCTACTTACAGTATTTGAGAAAAGCTTATTCCTGGTACACAAGGAGGTTTTGTTGTTTTGTTTTTCAGAGAAGGTCTCTGTAGGTTACCTGGGCTAGGCTCAAAATTGTGATCCTCTTGCCTCAGTTTTCCAAACTGCTAGTATTACAGAGCTGGCTGGGGATGGTGGCACATGCCTATAATCTCAGCAGTTGGGAGGCTGGGGCAGGAGGATACCTTCGAGTTCAAGCCTTGGCTACATAGTTCAGGGCCACCCTGAACTACAGAGGGAGACCCTGCCTCAAAAAAACAAACAAAAGGCTGGGGATTTAGCTCAATGGTGCAGTGCCTGCCTTGCAAGCTCAAGGTCCTGCATTCGATCCCTCTTCAAAAAAAAAAAAAGCTAGGATTACAGGCATGGGCCACCACACCTGGTTTGCAGAGCCTGTATTCTTGAAGGACTTCACTACAGCAGGGTTGTATGTTTGGGCTATATATGTCTTGTTGGTAAACATCACTGATAAAATCTGTGTCATCTTGAAATACTATTAGGATCATCTGGTCAAAGTGGACTCCTAGTAGCTTACTGCCTCTTTGCTTTAGTCTGAGAGCAGTCTTTTAAAAAAAATTTTTTTTCAGCCAGGTATGGTAGTACATGCCTGTAATACTAGCATTCAGGAGGCTGAGAAGATGGATCACCTTGAATTAAAAGCCAGACTGGGCAACATAGTGAGATCCTGTCTCAAAATAATAATAATAATGATGATGATGATGATGATGATGATGAGTGAGTTCAGGGCCAGGGATTTAGCTCAGTGGTTCCACCTCCTGCCTCGCAAGCGCAAGGTCCCGAGTTTGACACCCAGTACCAAAAAAAAAAAAAGTGAGTCCAGATAACCAGGGCAGAAGTCAGATTTTGGGTGCCTTGCCAAGTCGTATACTTTCTTTGGAAATGTCTGACTACCTGGTGGCATGCAGCCAGGACAGTAAATGGACCAAGCCAGGCCCAGCATTTTCAGGAATGCTCAAACTTTACAAATATGCCTGTACTTTCTAGTTATTTTATAATTTTGTTTGTTTGGTTGGTTGGTTGGTTTTTTGAGACAAGGTCTTGCTATATAGTGCAGGCTGGCCTTGAACTCACTATGTAGTCCAGGCTGGCATTGAATTCCTGGCATGTACCACTATGCCCAGCTTCCAGTTATTTTATGAATAGGTATTTTTTAGTTTTTGTTTTTCCCACTCATGCATCTGCGGAGACTGAAATATCTTATGTTACTTTTTTTTTTTTTTTTTTGGTACCGAGGATCAAACTTCGGACTTTGTACTTTCAAGGCAGGTGGCGGAACCACTGAGCAGAATCCCCGGCCCCTGAAATACCATTTTAGATATAGTGATGGTTGGGAGCAAATTGTTACTAGAGATGAAGGTGTAAATAGATTTTCAGTCAACATGCTAGTAATTAAATTGCTTACCTTTCTAAACTAGGGCCTATGCACCTTATATCAGATATCCCTGGATGAGATTGGTTGTTGCCTGTGCCCCACAACCATGTGTCTTGTTCTTTCCAGTGTGAGCCATTGTTCCATGGTGTGTTGATGCTGGTCTGCCATGCTCGCCTGTCTGCCAGGGCCAGGGGACCTGTCCTTTCAGCTTCTTTCTCACACGCAGATGAACACTGGACCTCAGAAATGTAAGTAACCTAGATCCCCTGGGGAAGGGTTGTGATCCTTTGTTTTGTCCCTGCATGTGAATTATCCCAGAGATGCATCTGGGGTACACTGATCTGGAATAAAATACTTCTGAGGTATTTGTCAGCAGAGCAGCAGGGAAGCCGCTGCAAAGGTCCTACCTGTCAGCAGTGGGAGACACTTTTATTATCACAGAAATCCTCTTAAATATTACAATTCCCCAGTGTGTATGATCTTAATTTTAATTATTGGGGTTTTGTTTTGTTTTGTGTTTTGGTACCGGGGATCGAACTCGGGTCCTTGTACTTGTGCAGCAGGCGGCGAAACCACTAAGCTAAATCTCCGGCCCTTAATTTTAATTATTGCAGATAGCTTTCTGTTGCACAGCAAAGCTATAAGGAGCTTTATAAGGAAAATATCACCTTTTAGAAAGGTGTTTCAGCTTGGACCCCATGAGCAATTTATTGAAACTTCACAGTCCAGGTTACTTATTGTATCTCTAAAATAATTTCATTTATACCATTGTATGTTTTGAATCATTGGACCTTCTGCCATGGAAACAGTTCCCTTTGGCTTTGCTGCCTGCCTTCTAAGCCAACATGACTTCAGTCCACAGCAAGTAAAGGAGCTTTTACACTCAAAATGTTTGGGAACTAGCTTTCTCAGACTCTCTGGGCATTTGCTTGCACTTATAAAACAGGATTGCCTTTAAGAACTGTTAGATCCCTGTCTTAATTGGTTGAAGTTAGAACATTATAGTTCATATTTTCCTGGATCCCTGCTTCTATCCCTGTACTACAAGATGTGCAAGGAAAATTTTCTCCTTCCGGCTCATTAACAGCCTTGTACTTGGAGTAGGCCTTCCTTTCAGAGCAAAAAGGGGAAATCAGGCAATGAGGTCTCCCTTTAATTGCATAAAATGCTTCAGCACCTTACCTGAATCCTTTATAACAGTTGTTAGCAAAATTTTTCTGTAAAGAACAGACAGCAGATGTTTTTAGCTTTGTGACTACATGATCTCTGTTATCTGCTGAGCTAAGGCAGCCATAGATAATATATAAACAAATAAGTGCAGCTATGCTCTAATAAAACTTGGGGGGAGTGGATTTAGCTCAGTCATGCCCTCGCCTGCTTTGCAAGTGCAAGGTCCTGAGTTTGATCCCTGGTACCCCTCCCCCCCAAAAAAGGAAAAAAATAAACCCCAAAACTATTTTTTACAAAAACGCAGCAACTAGACTTGACATACAGGGAATAGAGCCAACTCCTGCTCTATGAGATCATCACAAGTTAAAAATTGTCTAGCCTCAGGCTGGGGGCATGTGTCAGCGCTAGAGCACTTATCTAGCATTTGCAAGGCCCTAGATTCCATCCCTAGCCCTGCAAAGAAACAAAAGGTCTAGACCAGTGATGGCAAACCTTTCAGAGTTTTCAGTGAAAACAAACTGCCCACTGCAACATGTGTCCCATAGGTTCACAACCACTGGCTAGACTTTTGAGGAAGCATAAGACTCAAAATCTACCTAGTTCTAAATTTGTCCACTGAATCAAACCTTGTGAAAGGACAAAGGTAAAGGTGACAGTTTTCTCCCTCCCTACTCTCCCCTCCTCCCCTTGTTTTCTTTCTTTTCTCCTCCCTCTCTCTCTCTGCCTGCCTACCTGTCTCCCTCTCTCCCTCCTTCCCTCCCTCCCTTCCTCCCTTCCTTCCTTCTTTCCTTCTTTCCTTCCTTCCTTCCTTCCTTCCCGCACTTCTTTTTGCAGTACTGGGGATTGAACCTAGGACTTTCACACTCAACTACATCTCCAGGCCCTTTTTTTTTTTTGAGACAGGGTCTTGCTAAATTTCTGAGTTGCTCAGGCTGGGCTCAGACTTGTGATCCTCTTGTCTCATCTTCCCAGAGTGCTGGGATTACAGGTGTGTACCACCATGCCTGGATTTTATTCTTTTTTTTTCTGTGCAGGGGATTGAACCTAGGGCCTCATTCATGCTAGGTAATCACTCTGTCACTGAACTACACACCAGCTCTAGCTTTTCTCTTACTGAATGGTGATTGGGTGATAAAATTGTGTGTTTCATGGCCATACACATAAGTACACTAACTGCCTTGTGTCCAGTTCTGAGCTTCTGGAGACACATTTGAAGACATACAGTACAATGACAAAGAGAAGCTCAGTTTCTTTCTTTTAGATTCCTTAACAGACACTGACAGCTTCACCCAGAGATGTGGTATCAAGGAAAGAAGAATAGTTGGGCATGGTATTGCACACTGTAATCCCACCTGTTTGGGAGAATGAAACAGGAGACTCATATGTTTGAAGCCATCCGAGACAACTTAGCAAGGCCCATCTCAAAAAAGTAAAAGAAAAAGAAAATGAGGCAAGAAAAGGAAAGAAAGGGAAGAGCCATTTGCCATGTGAGGGGGAAAGGCAAATTGGCAGCTTTATCATGGTGTGCTGTCTTTAAATCTCCTACCTTCTCCACATATAGCCTCTCCCAACCACCATCCCTAAATCTGGGCTCAAGAATAGAGAAGTTAGGGCTGGGGATTTAGCTGAGTGGTGCCGTCACCTGCTTCACAAGCACAAGGTCCAGAGTTCGATCGCCGGTACAAAAAAAAAAAAAAAAAAAAATTGGCTGGGAGTGTATCTTAGTGGTAGTGTGCTTTCTTAGCATGTTTGAGCCTTTGGGTTCCATGCACATATGCACTGGAGATACCAATCTTCCCTGATTTCAGGTTCTCATGTCTACGTGATGGGGGGGACACTGTATTTGATCTCTAACAACTTTCTTTTTCTCATACTTAAATATACCCCAACCTTTCCAAAGGATAAAATTTAATGGTATTTTTCACCTTTCCTGCTATCTTCTGTCCTTCTCCCAAAATTTGTAAATAATAAAAAAAAAAATCCTGTTGTATGATCTATAGCTGCTAGCATTAAACATTTGCAGTGAAATCAAGATGGAGAATAGCTGTCTCCTTTGGAGACCAGTAGCCATGCAGCTGCTTAGGACCCTGGCCCATCAGCTGAAGTGACCTTAAAAATAGTTTTGTTTTTTAAGGTTCTTTTTTTGCGGGGGGAGTTGTTGTTTTCAGACAGCGTCTTGCTGTGTAGTTCAGGCTGGTGTTTAACTCACTGTGTAGTCCAGGCTGGCCTCAAACTCACGGCAATCCTCTTGCCCCAGCATCCCAGTGGACCCTTGACTTATGAACTCAGTTCATTTGTGAGGGCTGGTTGTAACTCAAGTTGGTTGTAAGTCAAGACTATTTTTCCCATAAGGGAAATACCCATCGTGTGTTCCGAGGCTCCCAAAGTACCCCTTAACTAACCTTTTCATAATAAAAAAGGGTTATATAATGTGTGTAATTTACCAGAAACACCAATAATTTTCCTAGTGTATTCACCAAAAAGTTATAAAATGTGCCCAGTTTACCAGAAACAACAATTTCATACTGTACTCACCATTCAAGTAGACATCTTTGGCTTGCAGGCAGGGAGGCTGAAATGGAAGGTGGTTATTATTTGAAAGGAGAGTCCCCTTCCATAAGAACATCAGGAATCTGGCTCTCTGTTGTCCTTTTTCTCCTTGGCAGAGTCTGTAGCCCCCTAGGACCTGCTTCTGGCTCACTAGGTCTCAATCTTTTCAGAACTAAAAAACGTGGTCTAAGATTGACTGTTTCTGTCTTTTCTTTAACACTGTTCTGTAGTATGACATGAGATTGTCATTAAGCAAGTGAATGCAACAATTGGCTTTTTATTTGTTTGGGTGAGTCTTCTCTACAAATGTTCATAGCTCTGTCCATTTTTTCAGGATTTCCTTTATTTACGAGAAGAACTTTGTTGCACTGATTGTTGATATTCTCCCAGCTCTTCAGCTGTCATTTCCTCTTGCTCAGCCAGAAGTTCCTGAAGTTCCTCTGTAGACCATTCCTCTGCGTGTTCCTCCCCCAGTTCCTCAACATCAGCACTGTCTATCTGCAAGCCTATGGACTCTGCTATAGTGACAGTGTCATCAACCACAAGGTCAATTGAAGGCTCAGGCTCCTCTACACAGCCTTTAAAGTCTTTCTCCTGTATAATTTTAGGCCACACTTTCTTCCAGGCAGATCTCAGTGTCCTTAGAGAGACATTGGCCCAGCATTTCTCAACCCCACACAGGAAAGGATGTTGTAATGTTCCTTCCAGAACTCTTTAAGGGTTAAATCTGTATTGGAGACCATCTGGAAGCACTTCAGGAACAGTTTCTTGGTGTATAGCTCCCCCCCACACCTCATACTGGGAATCAAACTCAAGACCTTGGCCTTTGGTGCCGCTGAGCTAAATCTCCAGCCCGTATAGCTTCTTAAAGTTAGCTATAACCTGCTGGTCCATAGGCTTCAGTAGTGAAGTTGTACTAGGTGGGAGGAATACGACTGAGAGCCATGGAAATTCTTCAACCAATTCTTCTTCCAAATCTCATGGGTGAGCAGGAGTATTGTCCATGATGAGGAGAGCCTTGAGTGGTAAACCTTTGTCCTCTAGATATTTCTTAACAGTAGGACAGAACTCCTGACCCATTCAAGAAAACGTACTCTAAATTACCCAGGCTTTTGCATTAGATCTCCACATGATCCCTAGCCTATTCTTTATAACTGTATGTTTTCTGGACATTCTAGAGGTCTCAGAGTGATAAGGCAAGAGAGGCTTTAAGGTCACCACTCACATTGGCACATAGCAATAAGGTTAGCCTATCCTTCATAGGTTTGTGGCTTGGCATTTTCTTCTCTTCCTGGATAATGTATGTTCTCCTAGGTATTTTCTTCCAGAAAAGGCCAATTTCATCACAATTGAAAACTTGAGGGCCAGGGATTTAGCTCAGTGGTTCCGCTGTCTGCCTTGCAAGCACAGTCTCGAGTTCGATTCCCAGTACCAAAAAAAGAAAAAAGAAAACTTGAGAGCAAAAGCCATTTCTCTGCGTAATCCTTTTAAAATGGCGTATGTAATTTTCAGCAGCCCTTTTATCAGC